GCAGGGTAGCAGTTGCGCATCTGAAATGACTGCATGCTTGTTTACACAGCCTTTCTATGTTCTTATACCTCTGTGGCTAGAGCTCTTGATGACAGAAATCATCTGCATTCTAATAAGGCATGGCATGTTACATGAAGTCATATGGATAATAGAATCAAAGATAAACTATTAAGAGTCTACCTCCTGTCTACTCCATAGTGCTATTTGCAAATGGAGAAAGGAAATCACTAACTAAAAACATTAAATTGGTTACAATCTGGAATCCTTCAGCAGAGCAGAAGCTGCCATGGGAACTGGCTAGCTTATTTTAAGGCTAATATAAGCCTCCTTAAATATACATTTCAGTTGTTTTTTAAATATCAGTTCAAAAACACCTATGTAATTAGATACTGTTTTTTTTTTTATTGTTTGAATGTCAGTTTAGTTTCTAAAAGAAATCTATTATGATTAATTTATTTAACTAGTTTGGTGACCAAAGGGTTAATTACAGATAGGAACCTCTATTTTTAGCTGCTACTAGAGGCAGGCTGACATTCTATCTAAAAATAGCCCTGTCTTTCGCACCGTTTTTAACCCTGCAAAGAAAGACTCACGCCTATCCAGATTAAGGATAAGCTTAAATAGCTCATCCTCGATCAAAACCATGGTAACCGGTACACAATACGCATCCATCATCTCAACCGGGAGTCCTTAAGATTCTTTAATCACGAGACAGGAAATCTGTTTTGTTTGGATGCCAATTAAGGGTAGATTAATATTTCAGGACACTCAACCACCGACTTGTGCTTAGAAAAGAAAACACTGATGATGGCATAAATAAATTTTACTGTTAAGGAGAGACAAAAGCCATTTTTATTATTTATTCATTTATATATACAACTGCCTTATTTCATAAAAAAAGAACTGTGGTCATTTTAGAGCCTTCAAAGAAGAGATGGAGAAAGTGAGAAGTATTAAAGACAGACTTTCTGTACTTATGACTACATAAACAACCATTTGGCTGTCTAGTTAAATATTAAAAAATAAAGTAGGATTCTGTGTAGCAGCAATGCCTAAGTGACACTACTAAATTAGGAAATGCGAAAGTACTTTTATTGTTCTTTTATTTCAGATTGAAAATAGCCATATGTGGTTTTTTATGATTATAAAATCAATATATGCCCGGATAGATAACCCAAACAGTTTAGAGGCATACAAAGATAGTTATTTTTCAAATCACTCTAAATCATCCACAGGCAATTGGTAAAATTGTGACATCGTCATTCTGGTATCCCTCTGTACACACAGCATGTGTATTCTGTAATCGTGTTACATACATGAGACCACACTTTGAATTATTTATCCACTCCACTCACCAGGAACACCTTTCTATTATACCCTCGTGCATGAAAAGACCATAATTTATTTAACTAACCCCCTACTTGGGAATACTTAAGATGTTTCTAGAATTTTGCCATTATGAACAATACTATAATGGAGAGTATTTTACATATATTGCTGGGCTATAGGTCAATACCTCCAAAGGTAAAATTCCTAGATGTGAAAGAATGCAAAGGAAAGGGGGAGGAGCTGAAGCTTTGGACCCATCTCATACAGATTGCATCCTCAAAGGTTGCACCAATCTCTATATCAAACAACTGGGCATGAGCATCAAGTTTCTTCACATCTGTACCAATGGTAGCTATCTGTGTCTTTTTGTCCTTTTATATCTAATAGATAAAATGTCACTATATTTTGATCATGGCAGCCTTCCCCCAACCAATTCCTAACACCATGAAGGGAAGGAGTATAATTAAGTTCAATGAGACTACTAACCTAGATGACTTTTGTGGTTCTAAGTTAAGCATCCTACAGTTCTACAAAATATTCTTAACTTCTTATTAATCATAGACAACAAGGTCTGAGGGGTAGGGCTAAACTTGAACATTTAGTAGATATAAAGACAATCCTCTGAAATGATTCTTTTTATGCTCCTTTTATAGAGGAAAAGCATGGGACTCAGGTCAGTTTTTGTGCAGAATCAGAGTCTGTTGGTCTGACTAGCAAGCTGAGATTTCTCACACCACACCACAGTGTAGTCCATTGGGATCTTGCTTTCAGGAACATACTGCCTACTCTGAGGCAGGGTTAGGGTTGGAGGAATGACTAACTAACTTTTTATACTAGCATATAAAAAGTAATTCCAGCCAGACATAGTGGTGTACGCCCTTAATTCCAGTACTCAGGAAGCAGAGGCATATGGATCTTTGTGAGTTTGAAGCAAGCCTAGTCTACATAGTGAGTTCCAGGTCAGCCAGGACTACATAGTAAGACCTGATCTCAAAATGTAACTAATAAAAATAAAAATAAAAAGTAATTCCAGTTGTATCTTCTGATTCCTACGGTCAGGTCCCCTTCTTCCTCCATCACCCCACCATGACTGCCATCTTGTGACACCACCTGTAATGGTTAATCTTGATCATCAACTTAATAGAGTTTAGAAGCCACACGTCTGGGCATGTGTAGCAGGACATTTCTAGAGATGTTTAACTGAAGGAGGAAGACCCATTTTGAACATGAGTGGTACAATCCTATGTTCAAAGGTCCAGGACTGAATAAAAAAATATAAAGCAATAGATCCTAGCATTTACCTCTCTTTGCTCCTGAGTAGGGAACACTGTGGTCACTCATTCTCTGGTTCTCATGCCTTCCCTACCATGATGGACTATGTTCCTCTGAACTGTGAGTCCTAGTAAAGCCTTCCCCCTGTAAGTTGTCAGGCATCTGGTCACAGCAATGAGAAAAGTAACTAAACTTAAACTTAGTAGGTGCTCAATATTGCCCATGCTCTTCCCAATATACCTGTCTCTGTGTGACTGAGAAGGGAAGAGTTTTCTCATTGTAGACAAAGCAGTGTCTATGTACTGTATTGTCTGATACTATCCACACAGGATACAATCCTCAGGATTGACATATGCCAGAAGTAATAACCCTGTGACCTTCCAAGCCTAACCAGACTGGAGATACAAATCCTAAAAATCATATTCTGTTTCCTTGATATAACAAGACACTAGGTACACCAGTGTACAATTGAGGCAAGGGGCGTTTCTCAAGTTCTGCGTTTACCCTTCTATACAACCTGATTAAATTGTGGCATTTATTTATTCTTGTGTGTGTGTGTGTGTGTGTGTGTGTGTGTGTGTGTGTGTGTGTGCGTGCGCATGCACATGCGTGCATGCGCCACAGCGCAGGTATGGAAGTCAGAGGCCAACTAGTTGGGAGTTGGTTCCCTTCTTCAACCATGTGGGTCCTGGAGATCAAACTCGGGTCATCAGATTTGGCCAAAAGTACCTTTGCCTGCTGAGCCATCTCATTGGTTCTGGTTAAATCATGACATGTTTCATCTGTGGTTTTTTTCCCTCTAGCCCTCTGATGTTTTTGAGTGTCTTTTGATTTCATGGAAATGATGATCCTCGTTGTGTTCACTAAACAACAACATATGGAAGCTGCTTTAACAAAATACCATACACCTAGAATAACAGAAATTTATTTCTCACAATTCTGAAGGTCTGAGATGTCCAACATCAAGGTGTTGGCAAAACAATGGCAGTGAGGGTTCACTTCCTAGTTCATAGATTAAACTAGGCTTCTCACTTTTGGTGCATTTGCACATGATGAGGCACACCTCTGGGGCCTCCGTTACTGAGGCACTTAATCTCATTCATGAGGACTCTGCCCTCACGACCTACTCATCTCTCCATGTCTTCACTCTTATGACCACCACACTGGGTATTAGGATTTACTGCATGAATTTTAGAAAAACAGAAATATTTAGACAATAGCACTGAGTAATTTATATTTTCAGTTGTTCAATGTTGCTTTGAGATGACATGCTTCAGGTTCTAATATTGTTTAGCTACTGGGTTCTTAGAGCTAATATACAGAACCATGAAGTTACTGAGTTGTAGTTATATTCACTTGTGACCCAAAAGGGCCAAATGTTGGTGGCTGGTGTGTGTCTGCAATGACCTAGGACCCTGATTCTACATAAGCACTCTTGAAAGATGTTGTTTAATGCATGTCCAATATTTTACATAGTATGCATTGGGTTTTTCCAACTAGATTTGTAAATATATGAATGACACACTGAAATCCAATGGTTTCTGAAGGTAAATATCCTCAAAAAAAATTAAAAAAAATAAAGAAACACTATTCCATTGTAAAATTCATGAAAATCTTACTTTTGAACTAAAACCAGGCCACATTTCCACATCCTGCCTATGTAGTTCTGTGCTTTGATTAAACTCGAAAATATTGATTTGAATACGCCTGTGAGTTTCCCAGGCTCTAGACTATGACAAACTCTAGATTATAGCTTACCTCCTTGTGAGGTTTCTTTCATTTTTAGCTATCAAAATATTTTTCCTCAATATATTTTGATCATGTTTTCCCCTCCCACAACTTCTCCCCTATCCTTCCCCTCCCTACCCTCCCAACTTTATTCTCTCTTTTTCCTCCATCCTCTATCTCCCCCATCTCTCATTCTCACATATTCTTTCAAAAAACAAAATGAATGACTCCAAGGAAACAGAACCTTCTGGACACCATGGGATTGATGCACAGAAGACTTCACAGAGACTGTGTAGCACACACAAGACCTGCAGGAGGTCAAGCCATGGAGTCCCAACACTGAGGGGGGACACGAGTAGGGAGTCCCACCCCTAACCAAGAAGCTACTTGTAACTGACACCTGTTGGCAAGGGGGAAAACTTTTCCCCAGTGGGATGTGTCACTGGGTATATCAACCACACTCCAGGGTAGCTCTATGTCCAGGAGTAGCTGGCCAACACGAAACTAACTCCATATTTGTTTGTCTGGTTTGTTTTGGTGGTTTTTTGAGGTTAGTTTCTATATAAAAGAGAACTTCCCCTGAGTGATGACAGGTCATCAATGCATTCTCTTCTTTATATTTTTCCGTCTCTTTTATTCCAAACAAAAGATTCATCAACAAAAGGTCTGACCAGATCCCACTGTGTTCACACTACAGAGCCTCATTATGGCATAAAGTGATGAATGCTGCGTGTCTTCTGGCTTGAGTTGGCACAAAGAGATCACTTCCAAGAAACAATTAGGATTTGTACTCGTGGCATTAGAGATGCTTCCTGACAGCTGGGGTTTAGTGGCACAAGAGCCGCTTTCTTTTCTTCCGTGCCCATTATTCTCATGCATTTGTCACCAGTAATTTTCTCATGCAGAGGGCGAAGCAGAGGACAGTACAGGGCGCCAGGTAAGAGGTGAGAGATGCTCTCTGGAGATGTCGAGTGGAAGGACCAGCTGTGCGTGCTTGTCAGGAATTCTACTTTAAGTTGTTGCTGCTGTTCCACTTTTCTGTCTAATCAAAAAGGAAAGTTTTAACTTTAACCTAGTAAAATTACATATAACAAAACAGTTATCAAGCAAGAATTACAGTTATAATATCTAGTCATTTATATTTGGCAAATTCAAAGAAAATATTCTATTTATTCTATATTTGTGAGTCTACAGTTTCATATCTAATTTATCAAGTTGTATATCAAATTCCAAAATGCCAAAGGATGAGAATAAAAATATTCTTAAATTTTGAGCCTAGTCAGGCCGTGGGCATACTGCATTGATTAAGTACACCAAGTGGTCCATATAGCTAGTTCCTAGGAAAATCTACTTTGATGATGTATTAAGAACACTATAAAAAGCCTGATGATGGCTGGCAAAGATTATGTATAACTATGAGTAATGGAAAACTCAAATGTTATTTCTCTTAGAAAAGTCAAAAGCTGCGAGATTCATTGAATTGATTTGAAACACCATAATGCCAGGGATACAGACTCTAACTTGTTACTGTGTTGAGTATTAGCCTCTTTAAAGTTAAGATATTGCTCTAAACCATGTCATTGAAACTATATTCCAGCCAAGAGAGAGGAAGAATTAGTAAAGAGGGCAGATATGTCCCTTCTATAAAGAACATGTTCCCAGTGTTGCATACAAATCTCCTATTTTGTGCATTAACCAGGACTTTGTCCTATGTGCTTCTAGAGGCAAGGCAGAATGAGAAATATGTTTTTTCTTCTATCAGGTTCAACTGAGAATTGGGAATGCTCTTATTAAGCAGTATAAGGGAAAGAGGTACCTGGAGCAAGTAATAGTCTCCATAACTTCTCAGAGAATCTCTATTTCTTCCATATAAGTGAAAAGCAATACTCCCAATTGTTTAGAAAGTGTGCTTTTTATTTAAATAATCATCTTTGAGTGGCCATTATTGAGCTTACTACAAGACATGAGATTGAGTAAGAAAAAGGTGGTGTCTTTTGATGGAGATAATTCTTACTAGTAAAAGTCATTCTCTTCTCTTCTCTCTCTCTCTCTCTCTCTCTCTCTCTCTCTCTCTCTCAATCAATCAATCAATCAATCAAGAAGAGGATGTTCTTTTTAGATACCAAGAAAAGTAGCCCCTGAGGGATCATCCATTAGTGGATTTGGAGGTGCCTAGAGAAGGAGACTTCTGGTTCCGTTCTCCAGCTGCATATCTGTATTACTTGTATTACTACCTACCCCCATGACGACTCAGGCATAGGGGAAACATTATAAATAGACAAGGCCTGATTAGGGAGGGGGTGCTCAGGCAGAAGCTAGTCTCTTTCTGTGTACCCTTCTAATTCCAAGTTACCAAGAAGTATGCACACGGTTTCACGTACCTGCAGGCCTATGGCCTCCAGTGTAGCCAGGGACTGTAACAGAAGGGGTCAAAGGGCAAGCCCATTGCAGCAGTGGGGGACAACGGGGGCAGAAATGCTCCATTCTGGAGCCAGGTCTTGCAACATAATGAATATCCGGAGAGTTTGCTTAGGGCGGAACTGCCACCATGTTACGTGACTTGTTTCAACGGTCTGACAGTCGAAGGTAGGGGCACAACTGTCTCTTTAGGATATCGCCATGCCTGTTAGTATGGGAGCAATAAGGGAGTGCGTTGTAGCCCTCACGTGTTTACACTGAGCCAAAGACAAGTATCAACTACCCAGTAGGAAATAAGACATCAGGGCAAACAAGGAGCCAGGCCTTTCTTCTTTCTCCTCCCCCCGCCCCCACCTTAGCATCAGAGCAGCCACTCACAGGAGGAGAGAGGGGTGCAGGAAAGCAAACTCCACTCTCTCCAACCAGTGCCTCTGGAGCTGTGGTGGTCTGAATGAAAATGGCCCCCATAGGCCCAGAGGGAGCGGCACTATTAGGAAGTGTGGCCTTGTCGGAGGAAGTGCATCACTGGAGGTGGGCTTTGAGGCTTCAAATACTCAAGCTAGGCCCAGTGTCACTCTCTCTTCCTCCTGCCTGCAGATCCAGATGTAGAATTCTCAGCTACCTCTCCAGCACCATGTTGGCCTGCATAGCTTCCCGCTATGACAGTAATGGACTAAACCTCCTAACTGTAATCCAGACGCAATTAAATATTTTCCTTTGTAAGAGTTGGCGCGGTCATGGTGTCTCTTCACAGCAATAAAACCCCAACTAAGACAAGGAGCCCACTCCAGCCAGTGCTAGAAAGGGGGAAGAAAAGAGATACGGATCTAACATGGGTGAAATTTTTTTCAAAAACTAGGGTTGAGCTTTAAAAATCTGAATGTGATTTTTAATTACTGGAAGTTACCAAACCAAAAGAAATTGAGAGTAGGGGGGTTCTATTAGCATCTAGCAGTGGTTGAGAAAGACTGCATTCTGTGTTTCAACCCACAAATGAGCTAAGGCGCTTCCTTTACAAAATTAGTGTTGTCCTTTAGTTAAAGTCACATCCGACAAACTAAAATAAAATCAGAGCATGAAGGTATGATCACTTGAATGGACCCTTGCTTATTCCCTGTCTCTCCCCCTGTACAAGCAGGGACACTCTCAGACTAAGAAAGTGATTCCCATCTACAATCTTTTAAGATCACATCTATGATTTTTGCCATACTATTATCCTAGCCTTATTATTTATACTGTATTTTTCTTTTGAACTTACCCACTTTTCAATTTTACTTTATCTTGCTCTGTGTGTGTGTGTGTGTGTGTGTGTGTGTGTGTGTGTGTGTGTGATGAGGACTCACTATGCAACCCAGGCTGACTTTGAATTCTTAAACCT